GGTCCCGTTTTTTTTATTTTTTTTTTTTCTTATTTTTTTTATCCATATCGGGGGGGTAGGGAAACTTCCCCCCCCCCCCCCCCCCCCCCACATTCGAAATTACCCTTTTCTCTCTCTCTCTCAAAATTAATCAAACAAACAAACACGAATATAATAAATAAATAAATCAATCAAAAAGACCTCTATTTATCAGTGCACCTACACATTACAAAACGGTCTTTGTCCGTTATATTATATACGTTATATTATATACGTTATATTAGGCAGACCTTGTGGCCTTCCAAGATACCAGCCACATTTCTTGTGCATTTACCTATACAAATTACTGTACGTTATACTCATCCCCTTTATTATATGCGTTATTCAAATTAATGGTCCTCATATCTAGAATATTTACCTATACACATCTGCTGTCCTGTGGCCAGCTGAAACCCTGGGGGACACGAGCAGAAATACGTGCCAGGGGTGTTAGTGCACGTGTGAGAGCACATGCCGTTCGAATCTTCACACTCATTGATGTCTGGAAAAATTTAATTATTTTCTTTAATTATTTACTTCAATAACTGTAGCCCATTCTGCATTAACTTGGTAGGCACTGCATTTGTATCAGCAATTCATTGCAATATATGGTAATAAATAAATAGAAAAAAATAGTATTTGATATTTGAATTGAGTGCCAGTGAATTGAGTGAATTACTGTTGCACTACCAGTATTGGAAACGGCGTGGGAATACAAAGGACAGCTTTAATGTGCCCTAAAATATCTTGTAGATAGCGGAACATCCAACATATGCACTATAATGTAAAGTATTACCCGATATATATATATATATATATGATGCTGAAATATGCTTAAGTCTGTATATATTGAGTGAAATAAAAAGTAAATCGTTTCTAAAGCACGCTGAGACTAAAGGTGTTTCTTTCATTAGATTATGCCAATTCAGCATAGAGTCTTAATTCAATGATTTGTTGATGTGAACTTCGGAGTTGCCTTAACTTTAAGGGAACGATTTATTTTTTTCACTTTTTATTTTATTTAAACAGACAACGATGAAACCTACACCAACATATTCTATGGAGTATCAAGCTTTAAAAACATCCGATAGATGTCACCACCTTACCCGTGCAGTTTCCATCCACCAGTTCGAAGCCAGTTTTACAGTGGCATTCAAAGCTACCAATTGTGTTGACGCAATCCTGGGTGATTGTGTCGCACGTGTGGGCTCCGCTAACACATTCGTTGATATCTGTAAATGAGAAAGATCGTTTATGTCTCCTCCATCCCAGTGTACCATAGCACAACAAGAAAAAAGGCAACAAAAATATGGATTGTTCGAGATTTGGCCAAAAAAGGTATAACCCCACAATCCAAATCATTTTAACAATAATAATAATGTAGCAAATTGTTGCCTGTATTAAACGTTATGTCCTTAGGGATAAAAAAAAAATCAAATATCCAATAAGACTCATCATCCTAAAAATTATGATGTGACACGTCAGCAAAAGTTATTATTTACAACCAATTTTGCACAAATTTCGTTGGTTTAAAGAGAACTCCATAGTTAACTTTATTTTGGATGGGTGGATAAAGTTCACCAAACTTCCTGGAAGGTAAATTGCGAAGAATTATTTTTAATGCTCTCCAATTTCCCATTTTTCAAAGCATAACCTGTAGATTCTGAAATTCTAGATAAATTTAGTTAACGAAACCTCTTGAGCTTTACATCATTGGAAAGAATGCATGGGTCTTTCTTATAGAAGATACACACGAGCGAGGGAAAACTACCAATAATGTGATCTGACTCACGACCGAAAGTTTAGTGTTCGTTTTTTTTTTTTTTTGCCTCAATAGCTCAACTCTCTGCTGCGGTTGACAGGTCGTGTTCGACATAACTGTTGCTATGAATATTTTGAGAGTTACGCCCTACAGGCACGCGAAGCATAAAGAGGCGTTCCGGGTGCTGTTTTGTGGTGTTTGTGTCGGCTGTGTACAAGGGATGTTTCTCTCTCCGCGATGTCCGCACTTGGTTACCGCGGAACAATATTGCACAGTGAAATACCATCAACACACTAACTTTTATTCCATTCGCCCCATTGCTTTATGATTGTAATTAAGCGCAGACTCATATTTATCTGAATCACACCCATATTAATATAGTATCTTTAAAGAAATCGCATTTTCATCTCGCTCTCTCTATTTAAGGTGTACAACGCACGTTTGGATATAATAATAATAATAATAATTATAGTTTTCATGACTTGGAATTAACGGAAACGTGTTGAGGTTTCGCGCACAAAAAATGAATTTTTGCTTAATAATTGTCTAAGGCTCATGGTATTTAAAAATGAAATTGTTTAAAAAGTGAATAATGGCACTAGTTAATACTAACATTTGATAATAATTACAACTTTATAAAAAGTTAAGGAAGCAAAACGGTGAAGTTTTATACAGACACATGTGAGGATAAAACATAAAATATATACTTCTTGGGTTTGTTATTATTCCCAAGGATTTATTTTTGTTACCCGTCAGATTTGTATTTTAGGGGTCATTACGATATATAGAAAAAAAAATTACCAAAAAGTGCACTATACCCCCTGGAAACCTAAATAATGCATTACATCCGATACGCGTAAGACTGAATCCAAGCTTATATCTATTGGCTCCCACTTCAAACCAAAGTGGAACGTCATTTTTTAATTGTTTATAAGCTTGAATCTTGGTGGACCTACACAAACATTTAGATGTAGCCTAAAGTACGTGCACGTGAAAAAAATGAATATAAACGTTTAGATAAATGAATATAAAAACAGATGAAATAATCTTGTTAGTAGGTATCTGTTGAATGATTAATATACATTTTTACTCATTTCTACTCATCTATCTTTCGTGTTTCTCCAACCACAAAATAAAATTTTCAATCACAATTTACCAAGTGATTAACAGACCAATCAATCAACCAATTGGAAATTCAACGAATAAACTTCACCTCTGCCGGTTCCCCCACAGTCATCGAACACTGAATAAAAAACCAATTAGATCCAATGCTCAATCAATTAAAATTCCAATCAATCAATAAACCTCACCTCTTCCGGTTACCCCGCAGTCATCAAAGCTGGTGTTGGGCATAATGCACCCCCGAGCCAGGTCCGACCATTCCATCCCCGCGGCACACGACAACTGGAACCCNTCGCAGTGGTAAGATCCGGCCTCGTTCGCACATTTTTGACTGCAGCCACCGTTATCCTCAGTACACTCGTCAATATCTGACATCAAACACAATATATACTAGTATCTAGGTATAAAACTGGGTCCAGTTTATTATATTTATTTATTTACTTATTTATTTTATCTATATACGGGGGTGTAGGAAATCTACCTCCCCCCCCCTCACATTCGAAATTACCCTCTTCTCTCTCTCTCTCTCAAAATTAATCAAACAAACACGAATATAAGAAATAAATAAATAAATAAATAAAACAAAAAGACCTCTATTTATCAGTGCACCTACACATTACAAAACGGTCTTTGTCCGTTATATTATATACGTTATATTATATACGTTATATTAGGCAGACATTGTGGCCTTCCAAGATACCAGCCACATTTCTTGTGCATTTACCTATACACATTACTGTACATTATACTCATCCCCTTAATTATATGCGTTATTCAAATTAATGGTCCTCATATCTAGAATATTTACCTATACACATCTGCTGTCCTGTGGCCAGCTGAAACCCTGGGGGACACGAGCAGAAATACGTGCCAGGGGTGTTAGTGCACGTGTGAGAGCACATGCCGTTCGAATCCTCACACTCATTGATGTCTGGAAAATTTTAATTATTTTCTTTAATTATTTACTTCAATAACTGTAGCCTATTCGAAATTAACTTGGTAGGCACTGCATTTGTATCAGCAATTCATTGCAATATATGGTAATAAATAAATAAATAGAAAAAAAAGAGTATTTGATATTTGAATTGAGTGCCAGTGAATTGAGTGAATTACTGTTGCAATACCAATATTGGAAACGGCGTGAGAATACTAAGGACAGCTTTAATGTGCCCTAAAATATCTTGTAGATAGCGGAACATCCAACATATGCACTATAATGTAAAGTATTACCCGATATATATATATGATGCTGAAATATGCTTAAGTCTGTATATATTGAGTGAAATAAAAAGTAAATCGTTTCTAAAGCACGCTGAGACTAAAAGTGTTTCTTTCATTAGATTATGCCAATTCAGCATAGAGTCTTAATTCAATGATTTGTTGATGTGAACTTCGGAGTTGCCTTAACTTTAAGGGAACGATTTATTTTTTCACTTTTTATTTTATTTAAAAAGACAACGATGAAACCATATACCAACATATTCTATGGAGTATCAAGCTTTAAAAACATCCGATAGATGTCACCACCTTACCCGTGCAGTTTCCATCCACCAGTTCGAAGCCAGTTTTACAGTGGCATTCAAAGCTGCCTATTGTGTTGACGCAATCCTGGGTGATTGTGTCGCACGTGTGGGCTCCGCTAACACATTCGTTGATATCTGTAAACGAGAAAGATCGTTTATGTCTCCTCCATCCCAGTGTACCATAGCACAACAAGAAAAAAGGCAACAAAAACATGGATTGTTCGAGATTTGGCCAAATAAGGTAGAACCCCACAATCCAAATCATTTTAACAATAATAACAATGTAGAAAATTGTTGTCTGTTTTTAATGTTATGGCCTTAGGGATATAAAATATATATCAAATGTTTAATAAGACTCATCATCCTAAAAATTATGTTGTGACGCGTCAGCAAAAGTTATTATTTACAACCAATTTTGCATAAATCTCGTTTGTTTAAAGAGAGTTCTATAGTTCCCATTATTTTGGGCTGATGAATGAAGTTCACCAAACTTCCTGGAATCTTAGGGGTAAATTACGAAGAATTATTGAAATGCTCTCCAATTTCCCATTTTTCAAAACATGACCTGTAGATTATGAAATTCTAGAAATATAAATTTAGTTAACGAAGCCTCTTGAGCTTTACATCATGGGAAAGGATGCATGGGTTTTTCTTATGGAAGATACATACGAGCGAGGGAAAACTACCAATAGTGTGAGCTGACTCACGACCGAAAGTTTAATGTTCGTTTTTTTTTTTTTTTTTTTTTTTTTTTTTTTTTTTTTTTCCTCAATAGCTCAACTCTCTGCTGCGGTTGACAGTTTGTGTTTAACATAACTGTTGCTATGAATATTTTGAGAGTTACGCCCTACAGCCACGCGAAGCATAAAAAGGCGTTCCGGGTGCTGTTTTGCGGTGTTTGTGTCGGCTGTTCACAAGGGATGCTTCTCTCTCCGCGATGTCCGCACTTGGATACCGCAGCACAATATGACACAGTGAAATACTATTCAACACAATAACTTTGATCCATTCGTCCCATTGCTTTGTGATTGTAATTAAGCGCAGACTCAAATATATCTGAATCACATCCATATTAATGTAGCATATTTAAAGAAATCGCATTTTCATCTCTCTCTCTCTCTCTCTCTCTCTCTCTATTAAAGGTGTACAACACACGTTTGGATATAATAATAATAATAATAATAATAATAATAATAATTGTCATGACTTGGAATTAAAGGAAACGTGTTGAGATTTCGCGCACAAAAAATGAATTATTGCTTAATAATTGTCTAAGGCTCATGGTATTTAAAAATGAAATTGTTTTAAACGTGAATAATGGCACTAGTGAATACTAACATTTGCTAATAATAATAACAACTTTATAAAAAGTTAAGGAAGCAAAACGGTGAAGTTTTATACAGACACATGTGAGGATAACACATAAAATATATACTTCTTGGGTTTGTTATTATTCCCATGGATTTATTTTTGTTACCCGTCAGATTTGTATTTTAGGGGTCATCACGATATATAGAAAAAAAAATTACCAAAAAGTGCACTATACCCCCTGGAAACCTAAATAATGCATTACATCCGATTCGCGTAAGATTGAATCCAATCTTATATCTGTTGACTCCCACTTCAAACCAAAATGGAACGTCATTTTTTTAGTTGTTTATAAGCTTGAATCTTGGTGGATCTATACAAACATTTAGATGTAAAGTACGTGTATATGAAAAAAATGAATATAAACGTTTAGATAAATGAATATAAAAACAGATGAAATAATCTTGTTAGTAGGTATCGGTGGATTGATTTATATATTTGTACTCATTTCTACTCATCTATCTTTCGTGCTTTTCCAACCACAAAATAAAATTTTCAATCACAATTTACCAAGTGATTAACAGACCAATCAATCAATCAATTGGAAATTCAACGAATAAACTTCACCTCTGCCGGTTCCCCCACAGTCATCGAACACTGAATAAAAAAAACAATTAGATCCAATGCTCAATCAATTAAAATTCCAATCAATCAATAAACCTCACCTCTTCCGGTTACCCCGCAGTCATCAAAGCTGGTGTTGGGCATAATGCACCCCCGAGCCAGGTCCGACCATTCCATCCCCTTGGCACACGACAACTGGAAGCCTGTCCCACATATCCAGTACTTATTGCAATCATATTCGTCCCCTTTGTAGGCGTTCCGATTACCAATACACGAGGCAGGCTCAGCGTCCACATGTGCGTTTTTTAAAGAAAGTAGTATGAAACAGAACAGTAGACTGATCCAAATATGGCTTGAGATCCTGGAAGCCCTTCGGACATCACTTGTAGTCATTTTAAATGAGGTGAAGTCTTAATAGAGAATACTTAATGAGAAAAATTTACAAGTGAACAACCGAGAAGCGCTGATAAAGGTATTGTTATGTCTCAGACCAATTGAAAAACAGATCCTCGATTAACAGGCAACTTTAAGTTGAATTTGAATTTAAATGCCGTCAGTTTCGTCAAAACTGCGCGCTTCCACCGAATCCTTGAGTGAAGAACTTCATTCCGTGACTCATCCATCAGACAGAAGGCACTCCATTCAACCAGAGGAGGGAGGACAGAAAATTCCGAAGGCATTTCGGATGGAATTTCAAACACTGAAAAATGATTAACTGAAAATATATAAATCATTATGGAACAGAACTGAATACGGGTATGCCTTATGCGTGAGGGTTCACTGAAGCTGGATTCTGTTTTAAGTTGGGAGTCGGCAATGAACATCACCCCCCTTGGTGAAATAGATCGTCCCTAGTTCAATGATTATTTCTTTCTTTTAAGGACATAAAGGGTGGACAACTTGCAGCCTGTCAGTGCTGACAAAGAACTTCTTTTTTGTCTCCGACGCTGAAGATGAAAGCTGATGACAGGTGATTTGAATTACCCGGATGAATTATGATCGTCGTGATATATAGAGTTAATGAGACTGTTTCATAAAACGGAACAAGACCGCAGCCAGGTAACTAAGGTCAAATTTGAAGTGCAAATTTACTTTTATTTTTTCTCACTCAGTCACTCCCTCACATAAAAAGACCACCACGCGCGTGCACACACAAAGAGATATAAAAAAAGACTGGCAGCTAAACAGTGAAATAAAATCAGGTTGATAAAAACACAAAAATGCTTAAGATATTTAACAGATCATTTATGAAGAATGTTGACAAGTCTTCAATAGACGATGCAGGCGACAGTGGAATAAAGACAGTTGATAGTTATGCATTTTATACAATATTATCAAAAGATTAACGGCTTCTCATTTTCATAATTCAGCAATTCAAATTGTATATTTCATTGTTTGAATTAATATATAAACCATTTATTTCCTGTTGATGGAGGACCTTGTTATGTCTGTTAATAAATTTAGCAGCAGGCCTGTAACCAAGGAGGGTTCGGGGGGGGGGGGGGGTCGAAAGCACCCCCTTTAAAATACCAGTTAAAAGTACAACACTTAAACGTGACGGTCACGTGGGTGTGACGGTTCTCCGTGACCGCGATTTAATCTCAGATTGGTTTGTCAAGGGGCACTTGTGGCGCGTATAACATTGTCATACAGGTGCTATAATATATGTCCCACTTCTCTTAAACCAGCGAACAAACATATTCAAGACTAAGGATGGGTCGAGAAATGTTGACACTCCCGTAAGTGCCAACGCTTTAAGCTGAAGAGTATAAATGACGCTTAATCTATTGTTTGGACGCTATGCGTGTACGTCATTAGAATTTTTCTCCCAAATAAGCTAGATTCGATAGCAGACGGCAAGATGCTTATGTGCAGTTCGCAGCATCGCTTGAATTTTTTTTCATATTTCATTCGCTTCATGTCAATAATTAAGATAAAATCAATTTGGAAATACGTTAGGATCTATTACTTCTTCTGTTTTATCTATAGTTTTTCAATGTGTTCTTATTCGCTGTACCATGAACCATCAATGAAAGGGCCACAGATTGGTTTTTTACTATATATTAACACGGCACATGTTTCTGGTTAATTATGTTCTTTTTTGTCTACTGTACACATTTGGTATGGAATGAATTTCATCACTCGTTTGGCCTCTAGCAGAGAGTTATGTTAGGTCCCGTGTATGGGCCAATATGTGTGTGTGTGTTGGGGGGGGGGGGTTAGGTGAGCAGGGGCGGATCAACGCTTATTTCAAGGGGGGGGGAGGGGGGGTCCGCGGATGCGTGGGTTTCGGGGCCCAGTGAGGGCCCCAAATATTTCGGTATTTTAAAGGGCGAAAGGTGCCATTTGGTACGGTTAAGAAATATGATTCAGCTGGTCAAAATTCTAATTTTAAAAGGGGACCGTAGGTGTGATTTTTTTTCAGAAATCGAGGGGGGGGCAGGACCCCCCTGAGACCACCCCCAAATCCGCCACTAGCGAGGATGACGTCACACACTGAGGACCGCGGAAGCACTTAGTCATATTCTTACACCATGCGCTGAAGAGTAGCTACGTGCCATGACGCGTTAAAAAATTTATCCCACCCGTATAGTTTATTTAAGTGTATGATATTACAATTTTGAGGTAGGAGGACCACATTCTATTCCCCGCCCTATTTCTGGTGCTATTGACATCAGATCCATGTTCAATGGGGATAAGTTTCGCCCATTACTTAATACGGACTAGAGCTGGCATCATGGTTTGTGTTAGGGGGAAACACGGCGTACCAGCAATTAACAACATAAAAAAATTTGCTTAAAGCACATTTTAAAGAAGTTTTTGTCACAGAAAAAAAAGACTATGAAATGAACTGACAAATGACTGACAAATGAAAAACAACCATCACATTTATTTTCACTTCCGATTTAAAATTTAAAACATTTTATTTTTCAGAACTTCAAAGGCAGCAACAGGTACTACCATCTCTATTGTCAAGTTACTTCATCATTTGCACATTCCTAAAAATCTAGACGAGTTTCTTATTTCTGATTTACTAACAATTTAATAAGTGGAAGTTCAAAACATTCTTTTAGACAAAGTTGTAAGTATGTAAATTTAAATATGCTTAATGAATATGTTTATCAATAAAGGAAATGGGTTTCTTGACTCTAGGAGGAAAACCAAATATTATACTAGCACAAAGAGCATATATTCATGATATATTTATATAAAATCCATCAACTTTGAACATTATCCTGAAGGGTTTATGCTTGTTACACATACAGACCAAAGAGTTTTCTTCCCTTCAGAATAATGACACCAAGATAAACTAATTTACTCCAATCAGATACCTTGTAACAAACTCGTCTGATCTTCTCCAATCACACGTCTTGTTACACAGAATCAGACCAGTTTGCTTTCCTCAAAAACAATGTCAAAGACTCATCCCTTTTGCACCAATCAAAAGCTATGTTACATATAGTCCGCAGGTGAAGAATTTGCTTCAATAAAAAACACTGTTACAAAACTATCCACGTGAATTCCACTAAACAGCTTGTTCTGCTTTATATTCGCCATAACCTTGAAGCATTCTCTTGATCTCTCCAATGGCCCAGCCAGGATTCAAGCCCTAACATGAAATGATAAAAAAAAACCTTTTAAGTTTAACAAAACTGAAACATTAAATCTGGCTTTACACACTCTTGTTGAATGGAATTTTAACTTACTTTTCAATTTCTTCACAAAATTCTTTAAACACTTTTGTTGAACAGAATTTTAACTTTTCAATTTCTTCAAATTTTTGAAAGCATATGGATAGTGTTCTGGAAGCTTTCATCTAGACACCAAGGACTAGACACCAGTCACACTGATGTCGCAAGTGCATGTATAGCAACCAGTCAAGTGACAGCTGCCCATCATGGCCCCCTTCACAACAGCAAACCAACTTGTCCGCGGATCAAATATTGCCAACCCACATGAATGCTTGTTGCATAATACCCGGCAGGGAATCTATTCAGTGTCTTTTAGGGGATTATGCGGCAGGTGGGTGGCCATATTTGATTCGTGGGTCTGTTAGTCTGCTGTTTTAAACGCTGTCAACAAGACTGTCCCAGATGTGGGAAGCTGTAGCTACCCGCCTCCTTACTCAGGGATGGCCACTATATACAGCCTCGTGATATCAGAGACGGAATAATACCAGTTTGGTCAAGATTTTTGTCAAAGTTATTCATCGCTTTCAAATTTTGGAGCATTTTTTTATAAATCAATAGTTTTCTTTTTTGTTTTTTTTTTTTTGTTTGTTTTGCAAAATGTCAGCTCACCTTAGGGCAAACTCTCGTGCAGTTCATGATGGTATGACACTTGTACGCAGCGTAGGCGCCTCGCATCTTTTCCAGGCGCTCGTGTTGAAAGTCATCACGTGAGTCTACCATCCACCTAGAAAACATTTCATTGATTAAATTCAATGTAGATGTAGCATAACTCCCTTTGCTAGGGCCACAGGACAAGTGAAGTTGCCCAGACAAATTTTGACACACTGCACTATTTCTATAACTAAAAGAAAGAAGCCATCAAATTTCTTTCATTTATGATGGAGTGAACCAACAAACTAAGATGGTTATTTGATGAGGGTTTTACCTGCTCTTTGGGATGAGTAAGTGCTTCTGGGGAAATATTTAAATCAACACTGGGCATGCATAGTCTATGTAACACTTGGAGCTCTATCTCAAACTACATGTCTGGAAGGCTTTAGTCATTTCAAATTCTTGACAAAACCTGTGGGAAATCTGATAACTAAAACAGTGTTACTTTTTCTTAAACCAAATGAAAAAAACCTTTTTGAAACCACATGGCTAGAGAAAAAAAATTTCTCAAACAATAAACAGTGCAAAAACAAACAAACAAATACATAAATAAACAAACAAAGAAATTAACGAACTACCATGCCTTCGAGCCTGCATTAGAATAATTTTGTTTTTTAAGCACATGGCTGCAGACATAATTAATCAACACATCAATAAATCAATAAATAAATCAATAAATAAATAAACAAACACTAGCAGACCTGTATGCCTGCATGAGAACAGCAGGTCCCAGGTATTTGTCAGAGTTCCACCAGTAGCTGGGGCAGGAGGTGCTACAACACGCACAGAGAATACACTCATACAGCCCGTCCTGAAATATCATCAAAGCTTTAGGTGTTTAACAGACCTGATAATTAAAGTAAAGGCAAAATGAGAATACACTCATACAGCCCATCCTGAAATATCATCAAAACAACTCATGTCACAGATTGCATTATGGCGTCACTTTGAAAATATTAGTAGAGTTTCAGGTGTTTTAACCTTTTCTTGATCAAGGTCTGAGAGAGCTGAATGTTTCATGAAGATCATCCTTAATTAGGTTGACAAAAGTTATGTTACTGACCAAAGAAAACTGCAATTTAGAAAATATTTGAATATTAACTGTTTAACTTTTAATTACTACTTAACAGAAAGGCAATTTAATTCAAGGAAAACTATTTCAAATACTTCATCCTGAAAAAAAAAAAAAAAAAAAAAATCAACCCACCAGTTTGGCCCTATCTTCTGGGCTCTGAAAATATGGCTTCGTTCCTATTTCTGCCTCGTTTTCATCCTTCTTCTTCAAATACGGCTCTATGAATCTGTACTGGGCATAAAAATTATTCATGTCCTGAAAAACAGATGGTAAACTTCAATTTTCATGGTTTTATAACCTGATATTGCACTAGACAGGTTAGTCCTTTACAAGTTTTGATATCCTCAGTTTTTGCATGTGCTTTACTAAGTGAAAGAAGTGATTAAAATACAACTTGAGCAAGATTGAATACTTTTTTATCTTTTGTTCTTGAGTAGGTCTGAGTAATTAGCATGTTCTCTTGATATAGCGTGTACTTATTGTACTCACTGGCACGAGGTCCTTGATGACATACATGTGTGGGAGAGGGTAGATATAATGTGTATTTATTGTACTCACCGGCACAAGATCCTTGATGACGTACATGTGTGGGAGAGGGTAGATCTTGGTAGCCTTACTGCCTTCATCAATTTTACTGCAACAGAATACAACACACAAGACTTAATTTATTACTGTGAATCAGTCTGCTGCAAAAATTTAGGATTTTATATAAAAACATTTGCCTTTATAAGACATAGGTGCAATATCTAAGCATCTGAAGTAACACTTTTTGTCTTTCTTAGTTCACCTATTTTTAATACACAAGTCAGCTTGTTGGTGCAGTATTACATAAGATCTCAGAAGTATGTCATTATCACTCACCATATACAAGCCAGTGTGTTGGCACCATTAATATTCATGGAGCAGGAGCCACATATTCCCTCACGACACGAGCGACGGAAGGTCAAGGTTGGATCCTGTTCGTTCTTTATCTTAATAAGGGCATCTAAGACCATAGGACCACAACTGAAAATATAAATGTTAACATGTAATACATGACTACACTGCTTATCATAGTGTCAGGACAGAGATGAAATTTTTAATCTCTATCAACCAACATTTCTAGTCCCCAGGTTGTTAGAAGTCAACTACTTAGAGCAGAGATAGTGGTCAGTCACAATACAGATGTATATGAAACTCCTGGCACTGCTATAACTATCATTTGGTGAAAAAGAAGGAAAATTTCGTGTCAGATCTAAGGCTCCCGCCCAGGCCAACGATATTTTTTGTCCTCAATAAGTCAGAATTCTACTGATAGTGAGGAAAATCTCATTCATGTAAAATTATATTAGCAAAAGGAATGAGGATTTGTGCTCACTTAACACAATGAATTATGGTTGCATGTCTCATGATGAAGTAGTATTACTGGTAATTCTATGGTCTATTTGTAGAGCAGCATAAATTTTTTTAACTGTTACAAAAAGTACAAATAACGCATCCATTGTCAATAATTTTCAAAACTTATTTAATGCTGTTAGCCACGAGATATAATCAACTCACTCGTTGAGGTCAACTTCATACTCCTGCAGAGCTGGTTTCTTGTTTGGCTTGTCTGGATCCTAGAAAGGTTAGAATATAACATATGAATGTTATCAATTTTCTGAGTGTTAATTCAGTAGTATGCTTATCTTATTTATCACACACACTTTCTTTTCTTGTGTGTGTTTTTTTTTTTTTGCTTTAAAATGTTTTTTTTAGAATTTAACTGAATACATTGGTTTTAAATTTTAAAATAAGAGTATTATAAATGATCGAGAGAGAGAGAGAGAGAGAGAGAGAGGGATACTTACATATCTGTAGATGCTGAACTTCTTTAGTTTTGGGTGGAGAGCTGGCGCTGCTGCTGTCTGGCAAAACCGTGCCTTAAATGAACAAATAATGTTATATACTGGCCCTAGTCTATTTTTAATTATCATTTCATGGTAAGCATTTTGTTATTATATATATATTGTT